ACACACACACACACACACACACACACACACACACACACACACACACACACACACACACACACACACTCACACAGGGAAATAGTAGTCATCTCTGAAGCGAGAGAAACAACACACAAACAAACAAACAAACAATCAAACAGAGCCCCCGGTCCTCGATGGGCATCCAGCGGCAGCGGCAGGGAGTCAGGCATGACCCACGCAATGTCTCCACCCCCCCCTATGTGGTATTCGTGTCCCGTCGAGGCGGCGCTTGAAGGCGTCGTCGTCGTCGTCGGCGGCCTCCTACTTTATGTGCCGCTCCGCCGTCACTAATTGTCCTCCACCTCGCCGCTAGCGAAGGCGTCCCAACGCCCCATCCCGCCCTTCTTGTGCTTGTCCCTGTGTTTGCCGAGGCGCCGGTCGTTGTTGTAGTCATCGCGCGAAAGCCCCAAAGCGGGGTCCTTCGTCGCCTCGGCTCGTGCACCGCGAACTCCCTTTCGCCCGCCCTTCTTGTCCGCCGAATGGCGCGGCGGCCCCTTTCGCCCCGTTCCGTCGTTTTGCCACGGCGCGCCGCTGCCGCCGTTGCGGGGCGCGAGAGCGCCACCAGAAGCCTCCTCGCCCTCCAGGCTCAGCAGGTTCCGCGCCACCCGGCGCGCCAGCGCCTCCTGCGGGGTGAGCTCCAGCTGTGCAAGTTCCTCCCCCGACAGGAATTCGTTCATGGACTCCACCTTGAAGAGCACCTTCGCCGCGTTGAGGGCGTTGTTGTTGGCCCCCTTCCCCTGAAACGTCCGCGCCACGTACAGCGGGTACTCCTCTCGGTACATCTTCTTCCAACTCCGCCGCCCCTCGCTGCGGGTAAGGGCAAAGTCAAGCGTCCGCCGGGCGGGGTCAACGCGACTCTCCTCCCACAGGAGTTTGTGGTACTGCGCGTTCCAGTAGCGCTGCAGGAGGTGGGTGCCGGTGGAGCTTAGCGTCAGGGCCTCGTGGACGTCACGGCAAAGGCGCTCCAGCACACACACCATCCGGGGATCACTGAAGGAGGCCACAATCTCCCACATGAACAGCGCCTCCCGCAGCGCCGCCGGTTTCTTTTGCACGCCGTCGGCCACAGTCATTTTTTTCCCCCCCCTCCTCCTCCTTTTCCCTTACACGCCTAAAGTGATGTGGATGTTCGATGAATGAATAAAAAACATATATATATATATATATATATGCGTGCGTGCGTGTGCGGCGACTGGTGGATGCAGCCACAGCGTAATGACTAAAAGTGCGCGTTTCCCCCCTATGCGTGTGTGGGCGAACCAAAGCCTTAGCCTGTCTGCCCCTCGCTTTTCTCTTTTTCTTTCTTTTTCTTTTTCCCCCCTTCTTTCCTCTTCTTTGCCGCCGGGTTCGGTGCCCACGGTTAAATGTAAAGCGTTACCTAAAAGCCCTGCGTCCACGCAGATTATTGGGTGAGGGGAGGCAGGCACGTCCTGCTTTATCCCTAGAAAGGCAAAAACAAAACAACAAAAAAATAACGAACCTGCAAGACTGGCGCCGCCGTCGCCCCGGTGCACCATCGCCGGGTTTGAAGGAAGAAGAAAAGAAAAAAGAGGGGGGAGGGAGGGAGGAGGGGGAAGAGGCAAAGGAAGAACACAACAGCATTGGAGGGCAGCAGAAAGAGAGAGCGAGAGAGAGACGCCGACAGCCGAAGAAACACAAACACACGCACAGACAGAGAGCGAGAGAGCAGGAAAGATATTCTCCAGCCGGTTAGATAAAAACAAACCACAGCACCCAGGCGGGGTAAATAACACCTGCCTTTTCTCTGTGCTCTTACCTGAGCGCCGCACACACACACACCGCTCCTTTGTTCCCCCCGCGCACTCGTTTTCTCCTGAACATTACACATGCTGCTGGGGCACAAAGATGAGAAGACGGCGATGCCATCCGTTTACCCCCCCCCCCACCGGCGCACCCAAACACACCCACACACACGCATCCTCCATCTCCTCCCCTTTCTTTTCCTTTTGTTTTGTTTTGTGTCTGTGTGCCTCTGCGTTTGAAGTCACGACACACGTGCATGCGTGGGTGTCTCCTCTACAAAAGCGGATTCCGCCCTCGGTTTCTTTTTTTCTTTCTTTCTTTCTTGCTGCCAATATTACGGCTCCGAACACTGCAGAATCAGTGTGGCCATCATGTTCTCAACGTAATCCATGCGCTGCGCCGTGAGTGCGTGGAGCTCGTGAAGTTGCAGTTCTGTTCCGCGTGCCAACTCCGCGTTCTCCACGTCGGCCACACTGAGCTGCTGCATCCTGTACTGCTCGTACTCCTGCTCCTTCTCCCGCCGGAACGCGGCCACCTCCTGCTCCGCATCCGCCCTTGCCTGCTTCACCTTCGCCTGCTTTCGCGCCTTGGCGTCGGCGATGATTTTGTTGCGCTTCTGCTCCGCCGCGAGGAGCATCTGCACGTTGTCTTGCTTCGGTGGCATCTTCCTCCGCACCTCGTCTTCCCTCCCTGCGCGTTCCGTCGCGTGATCACTCCCGGTTGCTCCCTCGCTGACCCCCCACTCCGGCGCGCGCGCGTGCGGCGGGGGCAGGCGGCAGCCGCAGTAATAAAAAGAAAAAAAATTACAAAAAAATAAGAAGAAGAAGAAACAGCGCGGGCGACAAACTGCGCACGGTGGGCGGGGGAGGTCAAGCACAACGCCAGGGGAGGCGGCGGCGGAAAGCGCCAACATACGGGTGGGTGGGGGGAAGGGCGTGTGTGAATAAAAATGCACACACCCACACACGCAAGCAAACGGAGAGGGGGGGGGGGGGGAAAAAAATGTGTGATTCCACAAGCCTGAAGGGCAGGCCCAAAGAAGCATAAAAATACACAGACTCCGTGGCTCCAGCGCTGACCCACGCCTGCGGCGCAAGTAACGGGTGGAGAGGCCACTTCCCTCTGGAGTCCCCGCCACAGACACACACACGCAAGAGAGAGAGAAGGAAACAAGGAAAAAAGAAAATGCAAGCATCATCGCCACAAGCAATGAATAATTAACTGCAAACTTAAAGAAAACAAAAAAAACAAGCAGTCAAGCACCACAGACGCAAATAAACACAAAAACAACAACAACAACAACAACTAACAAAACGCGACTAAAAGCGGAGCGCTGAAGCGAAATCCGTGATCGAAGGCCTTTTTACAGACTGCACGACGCCTCCCACGTTACGACTGCCGGTGACGCTTTTCCCCCGCCACTGCGCCACCGTTGACAAAAAAAAAAGGCCTGCCGCGCCGCACCGTCGTCAGACTTCAATGGGGAGGGAAGGTGGCACCGGTGCGTCTGAGCGAGAAAGGCGACGTGGTGCGCGTGATGAGGCCCTGGTAGCTGGGCTTTACAATTGATCTGCTGGGCGTCTTCGGGTCGCCAATTTTGTCCTTCCCAGGGTGGATGGAGCTCTGCGGGCAAACACTATCCCGCGGGGTGCGGGAAAAGGCTGTGAACGTCGCAGAGACCAAATGGGGCAGAAAAATGGACGGTAGCGGCCGACACGACGGCCGCTGGGAGCGTGGGGCGTTTATTTGCGAGAGGCGTTGCCCCACCGCTGCCTCCCCGCGAAGCAAAATGCTGGGGGTGAAGGTCGAGCGTCGGCTTGCGCGCAGTCGACTGACCGGCGCCGCCTCCGCCGCGGCCGCCCGCTCCATGTAGGCCAGAAACTTCGCCCACAGAGCCCCGGTTGTGTCCGGCGACAGCAGCTTGTATGGCAGCAGGCCGAATCGGCGCCCGCCGGAGGCCTCGTCCACCTCGCGGCCCGTCGACAGCGTCCCTAGCACGGCTCCGTCCGCCGACCAAATCGTGAGCACCAGATCCCCCGTCGCCGCCAAGAGCAGCGGCAGATTCAGCGTCGGGTGTCTGGTGGTGCCAAAGAAGATGACTTCTCTGTCTAACAGTCGCCAGAGGGTGATGAGCACGGGGGGATCCGCGATTTCTTCATCCAGGCAGTGTGCCACGGCGCTGCCCACGTCCCACAGACGCACGATGCCCTCGTCATCCGCGGTCACCAGCACACTGTACTGCTCCAGGAGCACGATGCTAACGTCGCGGCCTGTCACTGTATCTAGTGCAGGCATGCCAGGTGTACCGACTCGCGGCTCCGTGTTCAACGAATGGGATGGATTTCCTGCACAGTTAACACTAAAAGAGGGCCGCGCTCTACTCAGCACGGGGAAGGGCCCAGGGTCCTGTTGCCGCAAGGCCTCCACCGACCCGCCCTCCACCCAGCTCTCACGCTTGTGTGGGAGCCAGCTGCCGATCACCTCCCCGAAAAATTGCGAATGATGCCGCCCACGCTGCTCCGTCGGCCCCACGAGCTCCCCCGTTGCGTGTTTACCCCTCATGCCCGGGAAGCCTCGCCGGATCGTTGCAATGTGCACACGGCCGGAGAAATCCGCAAAAAAGACAACGACTTCGCTGGACTGAACGCCCTTCGGTGTCGTGCCCGCCTCAGAGGGTCGCCTCAGCATGAGCGCGGGCCGTGCAACGATAGCCTCTACAGCGGCTGACATGTGAAAAGTGTGGGTGAGAGAGGCTTGGTCCCGGTAGGTGACACAGTGTACACGCGCATCTGACGTCGCCAGAATAAAATGGGTTTCCGTGACTGTCAACGCCTTAATGGTTTGCTTCCAAGGCAGAAGCCGATGCACGATTCCTTGAAGCCCGATAACGGACTCCGGGCCGCAGGCTGGATGGACCGGTGCGAGGAGAAGCGTGGAGGATGTTGCAACCAGCACGTAGGGTGTGTGCCGCCCGCGGTACCTCGGCACCGTGTGCAGAGCTGTGACCTCCGTCCCCCGAATGTAGGGTTCAATGGCGGGCGTCAGGTTCACCGTCAGCTGCAGCAGGACCACAGAAAAGGCCGCCACCTCGCCCCCCACGGTTCCCAAGAGCAACTGCTGGTTGAGCGGCTCCACCATGCAGCACGACGTGACTTCAAACTTTGTAATGTTCGGTTCACTGCATCGGACTAGCATGCCTGTGGAGATGCACCACAGTTTGACGGAAGCGAGGTGCACGGTGAGGAAAAACTCAGGGTTTGGGAAAAACACAGAGCGGCAGACGTGACTGTCGTCGACGAGCGCCGGGCAGATGGACGCATCGGAAGTGACAACGAGCAACTCCTTCGCAGTTGCAACAACCAGTTTTCCGAAAAAGTCGAGGTGACAGATGCTGCGCACAGGGGCCGCGGAGTGGGCATGGGTGCCATCTACTACGGCCGGGAGCGTGTGACTGTCGCCGCCGGCGGGTGCCTTTCGGCCCCTGATGGTTTGCACGCAGGCGCCCATGCGTAGGTCCCAGAACTTCAGATTTCCCTGCGCATCCCCCGATACCAGCAGCGGGGTGCCACTCAGGCGCTCCAGGGCTGTAATACAGCCTTGATGCGGAAATGCGGCGTCGTACAGAGCTACGGGCCTCGACTTCGGAAGGGCAAGCACCCGCTGCACGATGCCGCGTCCGAATCCAGAGGAAAACATAAAATTGTCATCCACCAGCAACTGCATCGCACCGCCCATACTGTGGTCATTGAAGGTGTACTGCACGGTGTTGTGCTCGAGGTCCAGGCACTGGACAGCCGCATGGGCATCCAGGCTTGCCACGTAGAGCAGCTGCCGCCAACTCTGCATTGAGGTGATGCACTTCTGCGTGAGTCGCCTGCGCAGCACCTGTGTTTGATCCTGCATATCCCAGAGCGTCACTAGGCCACCGCGACTACCCATCGCGAGGCGGTTGATGCACGGAACCCAGTGCAGGGCGCTTTGCGTTTCCGCGAGACTCATCTGCCAGTACTTATCCAAGTAGCGATGGAGGCGGCTTCTCTTTGCGGTGCTGAAGAATTGCACGAGCCCCCCGTTGTGGGAGCAGGCAACGCTGCTGCCCACTCCACCCCCCGCCTTCTGCGGAACGAATTCCCACGCAAGCGGCACACCCGACTCCAGACGGATGATGCCAGACAGCGGGAGATTCTGCGCCGCCTCGCAGAGGTTCATCGTGCAACGACCGCCGGCCGCCGTGGTGACCAGCATCACCCGGTCAATCACAGGCAGCATACGCACCTCGTGCACGCACCCCGCGTGGACCTTCGACATGAGCTGCTCCACGTGAAAGGGGCGGAACGGCTCATCCTCATCCTCCTCCGTCTTCGCCTCTCCGCCGGTCACCACCCGGTGCACACGCCCTCGAAGGGAGTCGATGGCGTACATGGAGAACGCGTCCCAGGAAATCCGGCCAAGTCCAAGTACGTCGATGCTGGCGAACACCTTCCGCAGCTCGGCGTCAGCGGGGGTTGTGGGCGTCTCGTGGGCGTCACACACGCGGAAGAGCGCCTCCTCGAACTCCTCCGCCGTCAAGCCACCCACGCGTTCGCGCAGCAGGAACGCCTTCCGGAGTGCGTCAAGCCCCGACTTGGGGAGTTCCTTAAGCACCTCCATCTTGCACTGCCGGGGACCCGCCGCTCCCCTGGCGCCCGCCGCCGTCTCTGTTGCGGCACAGACGCACGAGTCGACGCAAAAAAGCAAAAAAAAACAGCAAAAAAAAACAAACAAACTCCGTGCGACATGTCCGGGGTGGTGCAGGTTGCCGGTGTGTGTGGGTGACGCCACCGCAAGCAAACGCGAGTCCTCTCTCTGAAAGCAAAGCCAGGCAGAACCGGAAACGAAAAAAAAAAAAAGCGGGGTTCCCATCGCCACCAGCCCACCCCCCTCCCTCCCCCCGCTGCCGACCGCGCTATCTATTCCACCACCGCTGCTACGTGCACATGCTGCTACCCGAAAACGATTCTAAAGGCGGCGTAGGCCACCCAAAAGGTCAACACTGCAAAGATGCCCGAGACGAGTAAGGCCTCCCGGTACCCCACCACCTCCAGCGTCTCCTCGTCCTCCACCACGTATCCTAGCTGGTGAAGCTTGTGGTTCATGTACACTATGTGATACACCCCCCACGGACACACCACGCGCGTGCCATCCGGGTACGTCTCGATACGCTCCACGGCACGCCGCGCCCTTGGGTCAACGGGAGGATCCGCGCCATCCAGGATCATCTGATACGCCATGCGAGACTCCACCGGGTCACGCTGAACAATACCGTCAAATTTGGCGCCCTCGACTGACACCGGCCGAAGCCCAAAAAAAGGAAATATACGTCTCAGTACCTGCTGCCGCCGCGCCAAGCGCGACCCCGCCTCAAAAGGCAGCCGACCGTCCTCGCAGAGGACCATGTCAAAGTTTCTTGTCAGGGCCTCACCGTCCAGGACGCGTCTAAAGTAGTGCGGTGCGGCGATGCTGGGGACGGGGTACAGCGTGACTTCCTTCTGCGTGGCGGGGTGCTTAAACCGACGGATGGTGCAAATAAGCCCTGGCGGGTTCTGTCGCATCTCCATGACGCCCTTAGTCATCAGCATGGCAGACTTTCCCTTGACACCGTCCATCCCTGCCGCCGGAGGTGACGTTGCACGACCGCGGCTGCACGCTACCAGAACCCGCTGGACGCCGCTTTCCCGGCGCAGTAACAACAACGACGACGACGACGACAACAACAACCGCAAATGGCAGATTCGCCCCGCGAACTTACAGAGCCCCCTCCCCACACAGCAAAGGAAAAGGAAAAGAAAAAGAGGGTAGGCAGCAGAGCATCAACGGCAGCTAGCAATTCCCAGAGCTGACACAACCACCACGTTGCCCGTTCAAAACAGTAGAGGCGGCTCCACGTCTCACTGCGAACGGTGGCCCACTCCCTTCCCTTTTTAATCTCGCTCTTTTTCTCCCTCCGACACCTCACGGGTCACTGCACACGCACACAGGTGAAAAAAAGAGGATCACCCAATCTGTACGGAAGCAAAGACACGGTCGTATCAACGTCGAGGCTAGAGGAGCGGCGGACAGGAAAAACAAAGGGCTCCTCACTCACAACCTGCCGGAGTTCAATAGTGGCAAGCGCACACAGTGTAGCAGTGCCCTCCGCGCTCACAGAGCCTGAAGATAATTTGACCAAGTATGCTGCACAGCGAGAGGTAAGACTGCACACAGAACTCAGAGCACCGCTTTGAGTACCTCCTTGAGCCGTCGCAAAAACAAGATCAACATCTTCACGAACACCCTCCAGCAGTAACGTTGCAATGTCAGCCAAGGTTGTGTCCTGCCAGATTGTCAGGACCACAGTTGGAACAGTGGCCTCACAAGATACATTCCCCATTAGGGGAGTGGAATTGAACACCGTTGCTGACGGCACCTGAAGCACTTTGCTGCACGTCTTGTTCTGCGTTGCGATGTCCTCGGAGAGAAGGCGGTACACGCGCGCGGTGGATGGGCACATCCGACTCCTCTGCACGTTGCCATCCGTTTCCCCACGCCGCCGCTTTGTGGGTGGGTGGGGCAGCGGCCCACAGCCGCCGCGGCGAGGAAGCATGTGAGGGCTCTGCGTGGGGCACAAAGAAGAGGCGTAGTGGAGGAGGCACACCGATGCACGTTGGAGGGAGGGGAGAGCAAGCAGAGACGAGAAGGCGGAGGGGGGCGCAGCGACCCATCGCAGCAATGGGCGTGGGGAGTGAGGTCGCCGCCAAGCAAGGCAGCCACGCCGGCAATCGTGAAGCAAATGCGTGTGCCACCGTCGTGTCTGCGAGGGTCACCGAAAGACGAAGTCGAATGTCCCGCAGACGCAGGTGCCGGCGGGGAGGCGGGCGACGGGTGCGGGGACGGGTCGTCCGCGACGGGGC